AGTTAATTTGACCTCAAAGTCTCTAAAACAACGAAACTGTGTCAAATTAGCTCAAAGTCTCTAAAACAACGAAACTGTGTCAAATTAGCTCAAAGTCTCTAAAACAACGAAACTGTGTCAAATTAGCTCAAAGTCTCTAAAACAACGAAACTGTGTCAAATTAGCTCAAAGTCTCCAAAACAATGAGACTGTCAAATTAGCTCAAAGTCTCTAAAACAACGAAACTGTGTCAAATTAACTCAAAGTCTCTAAAACAACGAAACTGTGACAAATTAACTCAAAGTCTCTAAAACAACGAAACTGTGTCAAATTAGACTCAAAGTCTCTAAAACAACGAAACTGTGTCAAATTAGCTCAAAGTCTCTGAAACAACGAGACTGTGTCAAATTAGCTCAAAGTCTCTAAAACAACGAAACTGTGTCAAATTAGCTCAAAGTGGAAAATTATTGTAAAGATACCAGTAATTCCATTTGTCTTCACAACTGCCCGAGAACAAGAAATCGAACAATAAACAATATATAGTCACCGAAGCTGTGGTTTTACACCATAAAACAGCAAGAATATCTTTGTTACCATGACATCGGAAAGGTAGTAATCATCCTGTAAATAAGTCCTGTTGCTAGGATTTGATACCATAAAAGAACCAGAGTTTTCTAGATATCTGGAAATTAAAAGGAAACAACAAGCTGCATATAGTTTTTATTGCGATAGTTTGATTCATTAGAGAGTGAAAAGTTACCGTTTACGATAGCGAACAAGTTATGGAAGATTCGAACCGTGATTCTTACGTTGTTTTATCACAATAATCCTTGAATTTAATGGTCTGTACGAATTCTGAAATATCTTGAGTTAAATGAACACGTGTTCCCGACATGTCTAAAGAAATTAAATAGGAAAAGAAAAGTTTCTAAGTTATTTTTTTATTAACATGATGAAAAACGCTTCCGCTGATCACAAGTTATTCTAAATTGTATGGAGGAAAGATGAGAAACACCAAAAAAAAACAAATCTTAAAACAAAGCCGAGGAAAAATTATAACGAACTTTTTCTTTGGTTCGACAACGTTGTTTAGCCAGATATCAACTATTTAGGCATCATTATTCGTTTTCTAGTTTTCGTTTCGGTTTTTGTATTTCCGTTTCCAGAGAACCATGTTTTTTGTGGTTCTTCTTCACAGAGATCAGCAGTGATGGTTTCCTTTGATATTGCGATGCGTCGACACCCAGGAGAGTTGTTGACGTACTTTCTTTTGCATCAAAGAATTGATTTTCTCATTTCCCTTAACCCTGACTAGTACGCCTAACCACGCTGAGCTAACACTACACTGTTGTTACTAAGCGCTGACGCCTAGCGGGAATATTTATAGTTATAAATAATTTTAACGAATGAACAAATATATAAGTTACGTAACTTGTGGACACTTTATTACAGAATTACCAACTCCAAACCTTAATTATAATTAAATGATATCTCCTAGGACTAACCATAGTAAATCATGATTTTGGCTCACATTGTTTCTGATAACTTATACATCTGGAAAAAAAATAATACCGCATATTTCCAAGAAAACAGGTGTTTAATGGTTGTTATGGTTACAGCTACAGCTGACTGTACTAAATTTTGGCCAGTTTCGAGAATGTAGGGTTATATATTATGATGTTATTTGAGTATTTGTAACCAAGTCTTCAGCTATTTCAGTGCTTGTAACGCCGTTTATAAACAAATCATAAACGTGAGGCCTATGTTTCTATATTTTATTCACTTTGAGATCCGAGTACACAGTTAATACGTAATAAAGGAATGGATTAAATATATATACTTGTGAATCAATTAGGTAAAACATTCTTAATAAATCAGAAAGGTAGAGAGTTTTTTTATATTTTGTTTTATGTCATTAATTAAGAATTGTAAACTAGTTTAGTAAGAAACTTAAAATAAGCTCTGGAAACCTACCGCTTAAACTAAACTGTTTAACCTAACTTATACTCTTGAGTTATAGACATCTCACGTACGATATTTGCATACACAGTACACGGAGACTACGTTTGATCGTTGTCATGGCAACGAATTCCTGTTAACGTCGATAATTCTCAACTTCATAGTTATTGACATCATCAGCTTAAAATGAGCGAAATGAGTATTTAACAACAAATTTTTCCTTTACAAAGACTGTAAATAGTTAATTTTATATTTATCATAATAAGAGAGTGTGTTTTTTTTTAGTTAATTTCAGTGTTACTTCTTTTATTAATAATTATATATATTTTCTTTTATAATATTTTACAAAGTATATGAAAAGCTGTTGCCCACTGTTTTCGTTTTTGCCTGTAATCAAAAGAACTGTTCCACGGCCAAGTCACTGCTGAGTATCTTCTATTACCTAGTGAATAAATCATACACTGATCCCGTACATTAGAATTACTTAGACATATTGCTAAACTCTAGCCAGTATAGAAGCGTTGCCATGGAAACAGTAGCTATTGCCATGTTACATTGTCTTACCATCTGCCTTTTTCCTACAAGTCTGATAAATACGGGCACTAAAATTGAAACTGGAATTGCAGTCGATAAGCAAGGAAGTTTTTTATTCTTTATTTTGCTACACATCCAAACAAATTGACTAATCTAGTTGCCATTCTAGGCTTAGTACAAGTTCTCTAACGGAATAACTCAAATTCGATTTCCACTCAGACTCGTGAATTCAGGTTTTTAATCCTTTATACTTTTATTTCTTAATTTATGAAGATAATTAAGGATAAATACAGTTAGTTAATACAGTATTAACGGCTGGTATAGGGGGAATAACATCTCCATTCGTTACACCTACGACTTTCGCTTGACCTTTAAAAAGCTGCAATTGACTCTAATGGTCTAATATTAATGTATCCGCGGTTATAAGACACGGAGCTTTGAGCGAGAAGTTCCATTCATTAAAAGCAAAATATGAAATCATTTAATACATTTATTTCCTGCATTAAACTGTAAGAATGCATCAACCAGTTACTTTTTTAAAGAATGTAGAGAAAGTGATCTAATTAATTATAGATTCATTGCTTTATTATCAGTTATATCAAAACGTTTTGATAAGTAATCAAAGAAAAACTTATAAGATCTTTTGATTAAGTAAATTTCTTCTCTAATTCACAATTCGAGTACAGGAGAAAAAAAATGGATGCAGAGGATGCACTAATTAAGGTGATTAAGTAAATTAAAATATTTCACTAATGATGATAACTTAACATGCTCTTTTTTTTTTAGGCATAACAAAAAGTTTTGATGCAATGTATTAGATACAAAACGAGGGATTGAAAATTAATACTATCATAAGCAATGCAATGAAATACTTTTGGAGTACCCTAGGGATCAGGTTCGGGTTCATTATCATTTTAATTCTATCCAAATTATTTCTGTAAAATTAAGTTTAATGGAGATATAACTACTTTACAGTTGATTCAGTTTAATTTATAATGGAAATTTGGATAATGACATCATCAAAAAATAAATGATTATTGCAAATATATAAAGAAGTACCTTAATAAAAATTTATACTTCAATGTTAAAGAAACAGTTTTTCTCTGAAAGAATCAAAGTAAATACTTGAAAATAGTCCCATATAAAAAAACTGTATAAGTAAGTATTTACATAATAAAAATATTGTAAACGTTATATATATATATATATATATTTTATACGAATAAGTATATTTTGTTTGTAATTAAGCACAAAGCTACACAATGAGCTAGCTGTGCTCTGCCCACCACGGGTATCGAAACCTGGTTTCTAGCGTTGTAAGTCCGCTAGGGGGGCTACATTTTATAAATTAGAATATATTACCATTACGTAAATTATATATTTATAAAACATTAAATAGACTTAGCAAAGATATGTCCAAATGACAAAAAATTATACTCAATATATGAAACATAAGCTTAAAAGCTTGAGAATTTACAAATTCACAAATTAAAAAGGAAATATTTGAAAATAGTTATTTCTATCAGGCACCAAACTTTTATAATAATATTCCAAGTAAAATAAAACCAATATTTAATAGTAAATACATATAAATTGGCATTAAAATGGATAACTAATATTGATGAGTCTGAAAATCTATTTATAGTATATATATATAAAGTTGAAAGAAAACGTTTAAATATTGTTAATCTGTATTAAAAATCTTGTATATTCAATGGTAATTTATGTATTGTTATTAATGTGTTTATTTATTATAAATAATACTTATCTTAACTTTATAAAGCGAACATGTTCCATATTCCATAATGTGTTTTGTAAAATTTTCAAATTTTGGAAACGTTTTTTCAATTTCAGACAATACCCCCTTTTGTATAGCTAATCTAATAATGGTGTACAAAATGTGTCAGTCATTTCCCTTCTACTATCGAAACTTGTTCTGCGAGAACAAAAGTTGATAATTTAGATTTTATTCAAATGATCTCTTCGCTCGTCTTGTTATACACTGAAGTCAATGATCAGGGGTATCGAATCCATGTTTCATTTTAGAATATAAGTCTCAAACTGGTGTTTGTTTTCTGTGCATAACTTACGTATAGAATCGTCTCAAAATCATGTTTGGTATCTTGTTTAAGCTTAATTATAACTTAGGGTTTTAGACTGATGTTTGTTTTCTTAGTATAATTCGCGTATATGACCGTTTCAAAACCGTGTTTTAATATCTTGTTTAGTCTACAAACTGTTTGCCTATCACTTGTTTGATTCTGTGTATAGCTTTCAACATTTTTTTAAAAACCATCAAAATCTAACGTTTAATTCCTCCTTCAGTTTTGCTGTAGAATAACCCAAACAATTCGACCCCTCACCTGACTGAGTTATATTTCAATACCCACCCACCGAAACATCCCTCTATAAGTACAATTATACTCAACTTGACCATGTTTGACATGAAGTTTAAAACAGCTCAATCACAATGAACCTGAACATTGTCTTGCTGTTGAGCCAGCCAATGATATATTTCTTGTATACAGGTCTCATCCTGGAAGGTGTCGACCCTGCCATCGGTTATCACGCCATTGTAAAAGAAAATGAAAAAACGGTGGAAGTGACTCCCGAAATTAAGGTTGTAGGTGGTAAGTTCTTACTTTTTAATTCACCATTCCAATTTTGCTGTAAAATATTCAATACTTTTTATAAGGCGTATTATTTTTATATAAATATACATTTAGTGTTTCTTTATCCTAGTTAAATTCTTATGTTCCACAAGTGATTTCTCTAAACTTGACAAACTCTCAGAGCCAATTGTTCTTCGAAATCCATAGAGAACTGTTTCCACATAGATGTTGTTCGACGAATAGTGAGAGGCTTAAAAGTGAAACTAAATAAATACCTTTAACGAGCATGTTCGGTTAAAACATTAACAAAATCGTAGCAGATCTGTGGTCACGAGAATCCCTTTACATAATGACAAGTCTGTTGACCCTAGCGGTGTGATGTTAAGTGTATCTCACGAAAGATACGTCTCATCTTCAGAAATAGCCCTATAGTTATTTAACGTTATTTGTGAATTTGTTTATCCGCGAAATCCTTTCACACTTTTGGAGCTAACAGGACCAAACTAGGCAGGTGGACTCGAGGTGGCCTGGGGGGTGCCCTTATTCATATGGCGTACCCCCCTCCCACCAAGGAGAAACGGGGGGGGGGGATATAACGCGCTCGGAAGTTCGCCCAGGCATCCGTGGAGACCCAGGAGTAGGTTTTCACATTCTCTGAAGGACGAGATTCTCTTGTTGCAGGGTTTTATCTACTTGCAATAGATGGATTAAAACAGTCATTCGTTAGCTGTATTTTACCCCATCTATCGTGTGGAAAGGAACTCATGATGATTTCTCTCTAAAAACTTCTGTAGCGAAACTCAGATTTCATTTAGAAAAAAAAGTTGCCGGATCAGTTATGATCACGAAAGTTGCCGGATCACTTATGTTTGTTTGTTTTTGAATTTCGCGCAAAGCTACACGAGGGCTATCTGCGCTAGCCGTCCCTAATTTTGCAGTGTAAGACTAGAGGGAAGGCAGCTAATCATCACCAACCACCGCCAACTCTTGGACTACTCTTTTATTTATTTATTTATTTATTTTCATTTAGAATTTTTTCGTATCATTGTGTGAAATATGGTGAATAAGATGTTACTAATATACTGACGAAATGCGCAATGTACGAGTATATTTCTGTAAATGTTAATCCTATGACTGAGCCACAAGTATAATTTCATGTTTTAACAGGACTGTAATAAACACTACGTTAAAAAAAGCAGAGAACACATCAATATTATATCAAAATTGGAAAGAAGAACTGTTGAGTTCTCAGACCGAAGTGTGTATTTGTTAAGAAGTCATTGCAATGAGTACTTATTAAAATGTTTGTAAAACAAACCCATTATAAATACAAATTCTATCTTGTAAAATTCAGCCAGTCAACAGAAATAACAAATGTGAATCGATAAGTGAAAGTTGGGATTGTTCTTTTTAATTTATAAAATCGAATTACGCGTGAATATTTTCCCTCTTGATTTATTATTCTCATGTTAAAAAAGAAAATTACTATTGTAATCCTACTTTCTTTTGTTTGTTTAAATTTCGCGCAAAGCTACACGAGGCCTATCTGCACTAGCCGTCCCTAATTTAGCAGTGTAAGACTAGAGGGAAGGCAGCTAGTCATCACCACCCACCGACAACTCTTAGGCTACTCTTTTACCAACGCCTAGTGGGATTGACTGTCACATCATAACGCCCCCACGTTTGGTGTGACGGGGATTCGAACCCGTGACCCTCAGATTGCGAGTCGAGCGCCCTCACCACCTGGCTATGCCGGGCCACTTTCTATGTAGAAATATTTTTGAATGTTTAGTTCTTTTGCTTGCGGTAGGATGTGTTTAGTCGAGTGACAAACAGTACCAGGGTTGTACTATTGTCTCTAATATCATCTGGACCAGTCATATAAGTAAAGGCAGATTATACCCTTTGATGTGTAACTTCCATTGTAACTAGGCCTGGCATGGCCTCATGGCTATGGTGCTCGACTCGTAACTTCAGGGTCGCGGGATTGAAACCCGTCATTGAACATGCTCGCCCTCTCAGCCGTGGGGGCGATATAATGTTACGGTAAATCGCACTATTCGTTGGCGGCGGGTGGTGTTGACTAGCTGCATATTCTTTAGTATACCATTGCTACATTATGGACGGCTAGCGCAGATAGTCCACGAGTAGCTTTGTGCGAAATTCAAACCAAACTTAACCAACCGTTATTATTAATCCGAGCAAGTGAGAAAATAACTTGCGATTGGTTAAGCTATAAAATGATAATTTTGTTTGTGGATTGTGATTGGATCATTCCAGTGCGATCTAAGCGTATCTCGGTACTGTTGCCAGCGTTTCGTTTAAATTAAGTTCAAATCCCATTGAATTCCACTTTATTTCTTTCATTCAGCATCACAGTTGTTCTTTATATCTAATTAATTTTTTGTTTAGGGTATAATAAACCTTTGTTCTTACGTCGCCTTTTATCACCACATGCGCCTTTTGGTTCACTTTGGTTATCTAAACCCTTCCTCTAATCTTTCAGATATATTGCAGACGTTAGGTGAAGTGTACGTTAATTATTCTAAGTTAAGATTACCACA